CTATAGGTGCCACATGCCATGATTTATACACAAACATGATTTGCCTGATTGTTGCAGTCTGGGCCCAGAACAATTTTAATTAACAGGAAAATGGTCCTCAATACACCGATTAGACCTCTTCAGGTACAGCAAGATAAAAGCCTGATAATTTGGATGGAGAGTCCTCTTCTTAAATGTCTACTCTATACACAGCAGCCAATGGGAAAGCCAGGCTGTCTCCCACCTGATCCAATGAGTAATTAAGAGAGGGCTTTTTCTTCCCCATCTCTCCCCTCCCTCCACCCCCCACCCCAACTAAAGCTTAACAGGTTGGTGTTATAATTTGGAGACTTTCAGGGGTGTCATGCTAGGAGCTTAGGCAAGAGACAGGGTGTCTCTTCCCCAGCTCCCCAGGCATGTCCAGCTGGATTTGAAAAGCAGGCAAGTGACAGGAGGAAAGAGGTGGAAGCAGGCAAAGTAGGTAACGTTTCTCAGCAAAGTTTGAGAGGAGCCTGTGGCCATGAGTGAGCTGGGCACACAGAAGACCAGCGATGGCACCGTCTCTCGCCTGCTCAATGTGGTGGAAAGTGAGCTTCAGGCAGGGAGGGAAAAAGGCGACCCTACGGAGAAACAACTTCAGATCATTCTGGAGGATGCCCCTCTCTGGCAGAGGTTCAAGGAAGTCACTAATGAAATGATCGTGACCAAGAACGGCAGGTGAGTTTATCTACGGCCCTGCTTGGGCTGGCGGGGCTTGGCAAGGGAAGCGAAGCCCCTTGAATATGGCAGAGGCTGCCGCTCTTAACTCAGAAGCAGCGGGGTCTGATTAAACATGCTCCTGAGAAGGACAGTCTCCCACGGCTTTCCCCTAGCCAACTTAATTAATTTCTCTGAGATCATCAGAGAAGTGGAGGGTGAAGCCACCTGTCCTGCGTGCATTTTAAATGAAGAAATTCTGGGAAATTATTATAAAGGGGGGCATGTCCCATGGGTTTGGGAAATGCACTCAAATGTCAGAAAATAATGTTAATTTTTGACTGACTGTATATCCTGGAGCAGATTATTATTCTTTGAGCCCCAGCTCTGTTCAGATAAGGTAAAAGGCAACTTTATTTGGAAGCTGCATGGTTTCCTCTGAAGTGTAGCGAACTTGCCAGACATTTCTGACTAGTTGAAGATTCAGAGGCAAAAAGGAAAATTTAATCTCACTGCCTATCCCTGCATCTGCTTCTTCCTGTGTGTTTGTGGTGAGTGTTTATTTGAGATTGTGTGTGTTTATGACGATGTGAGAGTTGCTGCAGTAATAGTTAATGAAACCATAAAATACTGACCTGAGAAAAGAGAAGATGCCTTCCTTTTTTTTTTCATTGCAACAAATTAGGGATTAACTGAAATGGATCTCTGTTGGCATTTCTTGGGTTCTATTAAATCTAGCCCTGCCAAGTGATGTCTAGGTAATATTAGGAGCTTCTATTTAGTAGAGGAGATAAAAATATTTAGAAAGAAAATCTCAGTGCTCCCACCTTGGCCTAACAGGTCCCAACATTCAGTTGACACTAATCTTTCTGTTCACATGGTCACAAAAGTACATAAACGTCGAAAGGCATTTTCAATATGGTTAGTTTCAGCAGAACTTTGATTGTGACCCTTGAGAGAAATTCTGTTCTCCAATGACAGAAAAGTCCAAGCTAGTTGAACTTCTGGCAGGCTTTTGTCCTTGTGAAAAATGCTCCCATTCCTGATGTCTCACTTTTCCATTTCTGCATAAAATGCACGGTATAGAGAATGAACCATTCCCATCTATCCAGGAAAATTATGAACTTGAGTGTTGTGTGACATTGAAGTGCTTGGTAAGTAAAACGTGTTCTAGAAATAAGGGCGTTTCAATAAATTGTGATTATTAATAGTAGCAGGAATATCCACCTTGCTTGATGCTTCTATTTTCTCTCTCAAAAAGGGTCCCATATTTATTTCATGTATAGGATTTATTATTTTTAATATTTGTAATTATAATTACACCTGTTCCTACTCTTGATCTGTGTTGACACATTATTTTTGGTAGAAAGAAATAGAAAACATGTTTTTAATTTCAAAGAATCATCCCCAATTCCTAACTGGATTTACTTTCTTCCCTTTCAAACATGAGTGATGACACAATGGTAAAAAGTTTACGATGTCTGATGACAGGTAGAACTTTCTGTTCATTATTCTTTGTAGTTACACTAATACTTAGCCTCATACTATCTGTTTGGCTGTCAAAGCAGTCATATATGGAAGTAAAATAAGTACAACCGTCAAGAAAAAATGTAGTTAATCTGTTTCAATGAGGAATAAATAAAAGTTTCTAAAACCATTATAAAATCCAATTTAATAATATGTCATATTGGTTATGTACTTTTATAATTTCACAGTGTATAATTTCTCTTGCCTTTTTGCACCTATATAATTTTTTCTTCATATTTAAAACTGAAAAGTCTTCACATGTTTAAAGTCATCAACTATGTGAAAACTATTCTTTGTAGGAAGAGTCTAATTATGGTCAACATGGTTATTCTTATTTTCTGTGGAGGTCCTGGCGACATTTCACCTCCTTAGTGAACTGAATCTTTTCTTAGGGTTTCTGAACCCCTTAGCGTCAAGATTTTGCCAGGAGATAGAAAGTTCCCTTTGTACTTCAGTTAAAGAAAGGAAGACAAATCTCTAAGAAATTGATGTGGTTGATAATGAATGAGCGTGGTCTGGAATTACTCTCAATCTCTTAGCTTCTCAGAATAAATTGTTAACAACACTTTCCTGCTCTGGATATAGACACATCTTTCTTGTTTTGTTGTTTTCTTTACTCTCATCTTCATCTCTTTCCCCCCCACTTTTTTTCTCCTCACCATCTATTCCTGTATCTCTCCATTTTACCCATTTTCCTCTGGCTGTAGAATGACGTCTACTCTAGATGCAGCATCCCTGCCTTTCACACAAACTCCTGAGCCTGAGGTAGATGGATTTGTGGCCCTTCTCTGGGGAGAAAAACATTCCTTGTTGTTAACACCCAGTCCTCGCCCTTTTCATTCGTGTTACTCGCCTGCCCCTGCAGGCAGTTGACTTTCTTACTTTTCTAAAGCTTCAGTGAGGGTAATCAGATAGCTCTTGCACACATGAGTGTAATTGTTCTGTGTAATAGCAAGTTTTAAAACAGCATAGGATGGGCTGATGAATTAAAAGAGTCATTTTCAAATGGAGACTTATTTCTGTGTATAAATAGGAGGCTTGCTTCTGACAATGATCAGAAGTAGTAAACAGAGATTTTCCCTGAAAATCATTGAATTATCCCCAGAAACTGGTATTATGATGGTTCTTCATTCCTCCCGCTCCTGTCCCTCCCCCCCCAACCCCGCCCCGACCCCGCCGTTTTACTATTTCTTTTCCCTTTCCTCTTTCTTTTTTTCTTCCCTTCTTTAATTTAAAATGCTTACTTGGGCTTCCCTGGTGGCACAGTGGTTGAGAGTCCGCCTGCCGATGCAGGGGACACGGGTTCGTGCCCCGATCCGGGAAGATCCCACATGCCGCGGAGTGGCTGGGCCCGTGAGCCATGGCCGCTGAGCCTGAGTGTCCGGAGCCTGTGCTCCGCAGCGGGAGAGGCTGCAACAGTGAGAGGCCAGCGTACCGCAAAAAAATAAAAAAATAAATAAAATGCTTACTTATTCATATTCAACAGTCTTTCAGAACTAACAATAACAATTATAATACTCCCCTAGAGCTCATTTGAGTCACCACTAGTGCATTCAGCTTGTAAGTACTTCCTTTCATCTCCATCCTTTAAGCTAGGAACTTACATGTTAGGTTGCAGAAAAAAATTTATTTCAGCTTTCAGTGGCAAGTAAGTGAAATCTCTTGCACCTTTTGTTTTCTCTACAGTAACATCTTCACCTTAGGGGAAAAAGCTATATTTCATGTGTATTTCCATGCAGTTAAATAATTTGATTTCATTTAGATTAAATTTGCCTTGAGATTTTAAGAAATTGGAAGGATTTCTGATATAATTGGTGTATCCATTTGTTATCATAAAATAAGTGTTAGGATCATTAAGTTGAACTTGCCAGTGATTAAGTGATGTTGGTGCAGTGAGCTGATGTTCATAGTTTCCAGGGATGGGGTTGCAAGAGGAGAGAAAACCAAGGTTGCACATCAGGAAATAATTTTCCATGTCCCTGTAGTCCATGGATATTTTTCTCTGAAGTTTACAATTGCAGTTTATGAGGATCATATGTATTTGTGTGATCTGCCTCTAACCAGGCTACTTTGGTTTCTTGCTGCTCTTCCTATAAGCCTTAACATCCATGTCCTATGTGTACACAAGCATGCACACTCCAAAAGCTCTGATGAGTGTTTCAGGATCATTATAGTTCTGTGGGGAAATGGAGGAAGGAGTTTACAAGTGAAACTTCCTGAATTTTGCCTTTAACCATCTCTGCTGTTTTTTCCCACCTAGAAAATCTGCTTTATCTCTGCCCTCTTTCTTTCTTTTTTTTTTTTTTTTTTTTGGTACACGGGCCTCTCACTGTTGTGGCCTCTTCTGTTGCGGAGCACAGGCTCCGGACGCACAGGCTCAGCAGCCATGGCTCACGGGCCCAGCCACTCCGCGGCATGTGGGATCTTCCCGGACTGGGGCACGAACCCATGTCCCCTACATCGGCAGGCGGACTCTCAACCACTGCGCCACCACGGAAGCCCTCTGCCCTCTTTCTTCCTTCCCACAGACCTCACTCCTCAGAGCCTTCTCCAGCAGTGCTGGCTCTCAAGATCCTCTGTTAGAGAAATGAAAACTGAAAAACTGGCTCACAGCAAATCAACACAGAGTTCACTGGCCAAACCTAAGCATGTGTGGTTCCTCAGGCCTGGTTTTGGGGAGTGCTTATATGCCCTGCCACATTTGCTTCTCTCTCTCTCTCTGATATGGGGTCTGATTTACATATTTCTCAGCTTCTCAAAGACTCTTGGCCGTCTCTGTGGTTAGCCACACCTTGGGAAGAAAAGGGAAGAAAGATCAAATTGATAAGAAGTGCAGTTTATCCCTGAAAGCATAGCCTGGTCATGAGTCCTGCCCATAAATAAATAGATAACACATCCCGGTCCTTGTGAGGCCAGAGAAAGAGGCGGGGGGGGGGGGGGGGGGG